CAATCCTTACCGGGATTGATGTATGCGGATGATATTGTACTAATGGCTAACAACAGGACAGAGTTGCAGGAATTAATGAGCATCTGTGGTAGGGAAGGAGAGGAATTAGGTTTAGAATTCAGTAGCGAAAAATCGGCAGTCATGATTTTTAACGAGGATGAAGTTGAGAGGCTGAAGATACAGAACATTACAGTTGAGAGAGCTAGTAAATACAAGTATCTAGGAGTATGGATATGTGATGGTGCAGAATATCTCAGAGACCATGAAAAGTATATAATAGGTAAGGGCAACAGAAATGCAGCTGTAATGAAAAATAGAGCACTTTGGAATTACAACAGGTATGAGGTGGTGAGAGAGATTTGGAAAGGGGTCATGGTGCCTGGCTTGACTTTTGGAAACGCAGTGCTATGCATGAAATCCGAAGTGCATGCGAGACTAGAAATAAAACAGCGCGGAGTAGGTAGACTGGCTTTGGGGGCACATTGCAAAACGCCAAACCAGGGAGTACAAGGAGACATGGGATGGGCATCATTTGAGAGCAGGGAAGCGGTGAGCAAGGTAGAATTCGAGGATAGGTTGAGGCAAATGGACGGGGAGCAATGGGCACGAAAGGTTTTCAGCTATTTATACATGAGGAGTGTAGACACAAAGTGGAGACAGCGCACTAGGAAATTAAGAGGAAAGTTTTTGGGCTATAGCGAAGATACCGAAGAGCAAGTCTCAGTTAAGAAGAAAGTTAAGGCCACAGAAAGAGATTGGTGGCTAGAGGGAATGCAGACAAAGACGGCTCTGGAAAGCTATAGATTAAACAAAAGAGTTATTGCCAAAGAAAGCATTTATGACAATTCTAGGGGAAGCTCATTGCTGTTTGAGGCAAGAACGGGTGTTCTGCGAACCAGAACATACAGAGTGAAGTACCAGGAAATTGATACAGTGTGCACTGCTTGTGGAGAGGAGGACGAGACGGCTGAGCACTTGATACTCTACTGTAAAGGGCTTCACCCTATGCCTACCGAAGACAACATAGATTTAATAAAGTCATTGGGTTTTAGAGACAGCGAAGGGAGAGTGGATTTCAAGACTGTAGAGATTACCAAGCAAAGATTAAGTGAATGGTGGCAGAAATCGAGAGAAAACTAGGTATTTTCTTATCCACTGATGGCAAGGGGGTTTCATAGCCTCACTTTCTTTGCACTGCGGAGTGAATATAGATTTCACATTTAAATATTCTAAGCTTAAATGGTAAAACAAAATGGCTAGGTGGCGTAAGCTACCGCCCGATCCAAAGGGCTCAGCCGTATTCATCCATCCATCCATCCATCCACGTGTACGCTATCATCAGGCGGATATCGAGGGAGCACTTTCCTCGACGCGGGAAACACACCGATCGGAGACGCGTTTCAGGAACCATACAAGAACGACAAATGCGAAGAATGCACCAGGCCTGTGCCTCGCGCGGCCCTTGGAAGTAAATGGCGGCGAAGTACTCGCTCCTGGTACAGTGGCCTATCTCGAGGAACGTGTCTTGCGCGTTCGGAGAACAATGGTTGCGTACAGTGTCGGTTGGCGGTTGGCGGCTTAGCTGCGGATGATGATGATGATGGTGGTGGTGATTATGATGATGGTGATGGTGATGACGCAGCTCTTCCCTTTGTAGCGGGTGAGCTAAAAAAGTGTGCCCTAGCCAAAACTTCGTAAAGCCCCTCTATCCTGGGAAAAGTGGCGCCATTCATTGTTGCGGAAATGCTCGAGACACGTGCCGCGCGCCAGTTCTGGGAAGAACATGCCGTCTGAAACCTAGCTCAGTGCTGCGTCGTGCCGCCATAATCTTCCCAAGGGCTGCACGTTGCACGTGCCTCGTACATCGACGCACCTTGCGCTGCTTTTGAAACATGAAGGGGCTTTAGAACTTTGTAAGGTCACTTCGAGGCAACAAGCGCCCCCAAGTGGAGCGATTGGCAAAAGACGATGAAGTAAGTTTCTGTCTGCTCTCGTAGACCAGTTCTTGTTCTGCGTAATTACGGCGTCCTTTTCGCTCTTTTTCCTGCTGTATTCGACGGTCCCCACGCCGATGAACTCGTATGGCCACGAGGAACTCGACTAATCAGGTACCTCCAGCACGTATCTAGAGGCCAGGCAAGTACCGGGAGTCAGGGCCCAGGATTACTCTCAGCTGATCCCATCTTTACTGAGCTTTCATTTTTGGAATGTCACTGCATCATCATTAGACGCGGCGTCGCGGGCCTTCATGGTACGGGCAATTTGCCTATCTGCAGCATCGCGGCTCTCCTGAGCCAAATATAAATATCAGTATCACTACGACAGCTGCTCTGAACCCATGCAGACCTAGTCACAGAATAGACAGCGACCGTCTGCAGGAGACAGAAATCTTTGCTCGCTCAGGCAACGGTATCGCTAAGTATTCAGTCTTCAAGAACGCTGTCGTGCATGCGCAGAGCTGGCATGACACAGTCGCAGTCAAATTCAAATCGTTAATCACCAGAGCGCCCTATTAAACTCTCGATGGAATTCATCGGAAATATACGTGGCTTGTGCTGATTCCCATATCGGTTATTAAGGTGTCTTTCCTGCTGGGCTCGTGCGTTGTCCACCATGCAGTTCGCACCACCAAATTAATTTTCCTAGGCAGGAATGGGTAGGAATGACTACCAGCACACTGCCATTAAGTGAGTGTTCTTCCTGTGTATGCGTGAAATTACTTTTAAGTGTGTCTGATCTTGTGCGCTGTGAAGCAGTATTATGCAAAGCATGTATTGGGGATATCGAATTGCTGAATCATCGCGTGCGTTCTCCTCCCGCTGATGCAGAAGAATGCAGTGCCCGCACGACGGGTTGCAGCGTGCTCGATGGACCGTGAGCGGGCTCAAGCATCGATTGGCCACGTGGAAACCCGTCGAGCGTCTCTCCTGCTGGTACAACCAGTTCTGGGGCACGGACGTCGAAGAGGACCGGCTCCACATCATTGACGGGGACGAGGGCTTCGTCAACTGGTTCTGCCTGCCCTTCCTGAGACGGCCCAAACGGTGGCCCCAAGCCGAAGTCGCTCCGGACCTAAACCGACATCATGCGCCCGCCTTCTTCGACAATAACGCCATCGAGGAGGACGAGTGAAGGGCGCCGGACACTGCGATGCTCTCAGGACATTGCAGGCAAGCTGCCAGGACAGCATGACCCCGAAAAGCGTGTATTAACAAAAATTGACAATTGACAAAAAAAAAAGCCGTAACAACACGTCAAGAATTCAATCTAAACGTCTCGAGACAAGACCAGCTATGTCACAAATATATAAATATATCTTTTTTTTTTTTTTTTCTGTTTCGTCAAGACGAGTTACGCGAAGAAGTTCGATGACAAGCATGCCGTGAACTTAGTGTAAAGAAATGAATTTCGGATATGCTGGGGCGGTAGGGTTAAAGAGAAGATAAGTCGGGACAATAAGTGTGTCACTGGTGGCTTCAGGTCGTTCGGATTGGGATGGGGTGGCTTCCAGGCCGAAGTACTCAAGTTTTAAGAAATACGTGTTGTGATAGAAGGAAAAAAAATGGCATTTGTTAGTGAAAATAAATTAAAAGCTCGTTAGGTTCCCGAGGTGTTTTGTGTTGTTAATGGCAGTGCCAAACTAAACACTAATTTGTGCTTTTGTAACTTGTCGACCATTTTACCTTTTACCTGTATATATTCGGGACTAACTGCGTCGCAATCGTGGACGCAAGTAGAGAATGAAAAACGAACTAAGCGAATGGCAAATTTAGAGTTTATGTCAGCGTTGGCATTACTTTTAAATTATAGTTTAACCTCCAGCGTCTCGCTCAATCTCGTGTGACATTTCACGGGAACAGTCGAACCCAAGATATAGAAAACATGATATTAATCAATAATAATAATAATAATAATTTATTTGAAAAAGGATCATCCACTGCACAACGCAGGTTTGTCAAGGCCTTCAAGGTTTCGGAGGACTAAACCAAGGTTGCAGAGATATAAAACGTATCACACACACACACACGCCAGTAAAAAAAAAAAAAAGAAATATTGAGTTTACAATTGTTTACAGCAGTTCACTGAAGCCGTAAGCTCCCAATTAAAAAAAAATGAAACAAAAACAATGGAACTAAATATAGAAAACAAATTAGGATATGACATTTATCACCACTGAACGCCATCTCAAAAAGTCACACGCTGTAAGGCAGTACTGGGTGAAACCCGAGGCTCTCGTGTTAACGGAAAACGAAAATTCACAAAATCAGACAAAAAAGAATGCAAAAATACTCCAAAAGCCAGGAGACGCCATAATTAAAATAGGAGCACCAAACACGTAGCCAGGATGTTTTTTTTTGTTTTGTTTTTTTTTTTTTTTTTTGGGGGGGGGGGGGTGGGGGGGAGGTCCCAACAAAATGAAAAATTTCGGGTTGGGGGGAGGGCCCACACCCCATGACCCCCCTTCCCTTCCCTCCCTCCCTCCCTCCCTTCCCTCCCTTCCCTCCCTCCCTCCCTCCCTCCCTCCCTTCCTTCCTTCCTTCCTTCCTTCCTTCCTTCCTCCCTCCCTCCCTCCCTCCCTCCCTCCCTCCCTCCCTCCCTCCCTCCCTCCCTTCCTTCCTTCCTTCCTTCCTTCCTTCCTTCCTTCCTTCCTTCCTTCCTTCCTTCCTTCCCCCCCCCCCCCCAGCTACGTGCCTGAAGAGCACCGACTTGACACAACAGAAAAAACAATTTCTTTAGACGTTTCGCCTCCCATGCGAATTGTCAAAAAAGAAAGTAACAGATTAATAATACATATGTCAACAATAAATAAATAATAAAATAAGTACTTTGAATGAACCCCACGGGCACGAACTTAAGGTTTAATTATTGTACAAAAAATAATAACAATAAGTACTAATTTTATTTTTCAAGTGACTCTCGCTTACCAGAACCGTGAAAAGAGCGCTCCGGCATGGTTTCGGTTTCGATTTGCCAATCTTCATCCGCATAGCGGCGCCACGATCGCCTCGACCGATTTCCGGTTTCCGCTCTCGTAATTTTCCAAAATGGCCGACGTCTGCCGTTTTCTTAGTTTGTGACAACGTTGGTTTGTGATCGCCGTGCGGGCATTCTCGCTTTCGCACCATGAGTGAACCAAAAGACAAGCGACGGAAAGACGGCGAATCTCGCCGAAGACATCGGTCCCGATCCATTAGCCCGGACTGGAGGTCGAAAGCACCCAAGGTAAAAACTGCGTTGCGGAGCGGAAAACGGCACCGAGGTTATTCAACCACCTTGAGTCATGAATGCTTTCAACCTTTCCGTATGCCCCGCAATCGAATTCCACAAGCTCACGAAAATTGCCAGCCAGGTTTTTTGTGTGATCCTTATGAGACAGACGTCGCAATATCGCACCTCTGTCGGATCTTCTCCATCGGAGTGGACATGTGTTGACGTTAAAAAAACACTCAAGGCAAAAGTGGCGAAACCATTTGTCATTCCAATATTCCTTCAGTGCGGTTTAGTTTTTGTCATAAACATGCCAAGACTGCAGTGGTTGCACACCCTCAACGACAGTGGTGTTCTCGCCATTCCAGACATTATTAACTGCGCACAAAGGTAGACGAACAAATGCGCAGTAAATCCGACCTGTCGTTATAAAACGCCAAAGCTTTCTTTTGTAAGCAACTCCCAGTGTAGTTAGATAGTTTTTGTATGTGCCTGGTATGCTTCACAGTGAGAAACTGTGGAGAAAATAGAGTGATTAATTTGCTTACAGCGTTTAGTTACTGGAATATGCAAATAAAACATAAGGTCACCGGTGTGTTGTCTCAAGCAACCAAAATAGTCATATTTGTCCTAGAAAAACCTCCGTTGAATGGCTGGTAAAATTTATAAGATTAATAACTGATTCATAAACAGACTGCTGCCTAATCACTGTCATTGTGTACACATAATTGTGTGATATTTGTGTTTTGTTTTGTAGTAAGTTCAAAGCTGCCGCATAACCGAGAATTTGGTTGCACATCAAAAGATCCCTAGGAGGTTGAAACTAACCCTCAGTCCTTTGCTGGGGCATGTGAGATTCCCTTTGTTAGTGTGGCATGTAAATCCCCAAAATTATTCCCCGGTCATAATAGATCAAGTATTTCAGGAGCTGCCTCACAATATTGTATTCCTCACGCAAGAAGTATAAAATGTGCCTACAAAACATTGAAGTGTATGCAACCAAGCTATTTTCGATAAGAGAGTGGCAGTTTGGAAAATAATGTACCTTTCAAACGGAATCTTCCACTCATTTTCCCTTGTAATACTCGCTAAAAAATCAGCAATACTCGCTAAAAAATTGGCAATAGAAGCCTCTCCCACAATCATTCTTCATTTAGCAGTTGGTCAGATTATAGTGAGAGATAATTTAGGAAGAATGCATGTGCTGTGGCATATCCCAAAAACCTGTATAAACTACAAAAAAAAAAAAAAAGCTTCTTTTTTATGCAGCCTGCAGTCCCGAGGCCAGAAGAGAGGTTGGTCGACAAAAGAGAACACGACCGGGGTCGAAGGAAAGACCCTGGCGAAGACACCAGGTCGCGCAAACCGGGGGCCGGAGAAAGGAGTCACGCCCGGCCACACGAAGACTCTCGCGGCCAGAGGCGAGTCGGTGCACCAAACTATGAATTGCTACACTTCATGCACGAGCGCTCTTGGCTGCGTGATCGTCAGTCCACTTGTAGATCACCATTAACTTGCTATCAATTTATAACCTCACTTCCTTCCTGTTCAGCGTCAAATTCACAACAAAAAAAGTGCTGGGTTCAATCCGCAAAATGCAATTGCTCATTTTTTTTTTCTCGTGAATGTTTGAGTGATTCTAACTTTCCGTCCCCAAGAATTACGTACATCCTTTCCGAAAAATGCTGGGAGCCAACAGCCATGACACATACTCTTTGTTAAGAAAAGGCGGGCATGGTTCGGGTACGTGCGAAAAATAACAGTCGGGCTCGGGCCGAGTTTGGGCAGGAATACTTATCGACCGGGTCAGATTCGGGCGATGTCCATGAACCATATTCGAGCCAGGACCGGGTCAGGTCGGTCCTTAAAATTCCTGCCCGATCTGATCTCTAGCTTGCACGTTACGAGCGCGCATGCTTGGCATGGACGCTGAAAAGCCGGATCTCGCTCTTATAGCTTCTGCTATGCTCCCACCTAAAGTAAAACGGGGCATAGCACTTGAGCCTCAAAGCGATGCTAAGCACAACTCCAAATATTTTGGAACAAAACCTGCTTTTATTTGTGTATAAAACTAAATATGCCATACCAGTTACAAAATAGGATTTTAATCTTTAGTTTCTTTGCTAAACACAGAAGAAAAAAGTTGTTGAGGTAAAACCAAAATTTTTGCTCTTAATCTGAGAGAGAGAAGGACCTGTTCAACCATGACATTTCCATCAAACTCTGTGCAAGCAACTGTGGGACACAAATGCACATGCATACCTGCCAAGTTTCCCGTATTACCCGGGAGACTCCCGAATTATGATCAGTTTGTACGATTGACAGAAAAAGCTCCCAGAGAACACAAATTATACCTCTCCCTCTTTCCCGCTCTTAAATAATGAGTTTTTGCCATAACATCAGATGACTGCAATCCCATGAGCCTAGCAGTGCATTATATAAATGTAATGAAGTTGTCTTCATGCAAATTTGTTGTCAATAGTTAAGCCCACCCTCCACCCCTTGCTTAAAAATTCTCCCAGATTTGATTTCTCTGAATTTGGCAGGTATGCACATATCCGGCCTCTCTTATTAGCATCGGTTGCACATCAGCCTTAAGGGCAAACCCAAGAGTCCCCTACCGTAGTATTCCAAGAGATAGCCCACCTAAAATCCAAAGCGAGTAGGGTGAGAATAAGAAGTAAGTTAACTTCCAGTGTGCAATAATAAAATAGTTGAAAAGTGCTAGTTTTAGATTTTGTGACGTGTGAAACTTGCAATCGCAGAGAGGAGCGACGAACCAAATTCCACTGTTATTCCCAGTCGCCAATGTTCGCTTATCTCTCGCCGTGGCTAAGTAACACCCTTTCTGCCGAGGTGACCATTGGCAAGGGTCATGCAATTACTAGAAGTGGGCAATCTTTCGGTGCTTTCGATAAAATAGCAAATTGTGCCAAAAATATGGATGGGTTACCCCTCTCGGGATGTTACGGTAGTTTGATTTGTCCGCAACTTTACACGCCTCACCGCAGGCCTCCTCGACACGGGAGCAGCTCCCCTCCGCCGCGGAACAGGGGGAGGGGCCGTAGGGGGCGTTCTCCCGAGGGAAAGCAACACTGGGGCAAGGTGGAGCCCAAGGAAGAGCCGGAGGAAAAGGCAAGTGACGACCGGCTATATATGCCGCCCGCATCTTATGGTGAATTCCGCTCGCAGATCTCGAGCGCTCCAAAAGCGCTCCATTTGGAGCGCGCATATTCCGCTCGCAGATCTGGCTCAAGTTGGTCATCTTCCGCTCGTAGATCTCTGGCAGCGCCCGCTCCACGGAGCGCCCCAAACTCCGCCGAACTTGCTCTGCGGGTTTTCACGGATCTCTCCGGAAGATGACAGAGCGGCCCACGTGATTTCCGTCTAAATCGGCGGTGCGCATGCGCGGCGAGGTTAGAGAGATCGGCGGGCCGGTCAGGTCGTGGAGTTGGATCTGTTCGGGTGCGTCGGTTGTTTACTCTGGATTGTGACGGCTCGAACGCTTCTACCTCGCGTAGATCAGGGATAAAAAGCCGGGGATGTGGAGCGTGGCAAATCGTAAGCGCTGACGCCTGTGATCGTGAGAGGAAGAACGAGAAAAAGAAGAACAGAAAAGCCGGAGGCAGACGCAAGGTTAGGCCTATTCATTCTGCAGCCAGTGATTGTTTACCTTTTTACACTGCATTCCGTCGGCGTTTTCCCGTGAAATAAAGCAAGAAGTGGTTAGGCAACGACCGCGCAAGTGATGGTTTGTTACCTGTGTTTATTAAAGTCGTACTACAAATCTGAACTCCACCGCTGGCAATCGCTGCATGTCCGTGCCCCGCCGCTTCGAGGCGGCCGAAAGGTATGTGACGGTGCCGAACGCGGACGTCTTCGTTATTTGTGACATGGGTGCCGCGGTACGTATAATTTCGACCGGCCTGTGTCGCGTGTTACTTCTGCAGCTAAGCAGTGACAGTCGTCACTGGTCGTCGGAAAGATCAGCCGGCTGAGGCGTTGGTGGGCTTGTCAAGTTCGAGCAGCGGCCATTTTGTACGGCGGAGGGAGAAGGGGTGGGGAGGGGTGTGGGGGAGGTCGCTCTAAAAATGCAAGTTTATCTTCCCCTCGTCGATTCGGAGCGGGTCCCACGGAGCGGAATTTTGCCTCCCTCGCGGATTTTGGAAAGTGCTCCAGATCTACGAGTGGAATTCACCATTAGTGCATGACACCACTGGGGAAGCATCGAAAAGTGGATACTCTATGGAGGTTCTTTTTCCCTCGCGACTATGCGCACAAAGACCAGCGATAAAGAAGCCTTCGGTATTAAAGCCTGTCTGCATACGCCGGGCATGTATCGGGTACGAGGGCTGCGTCGGTGCTCGGCTTGAGCTCAGATGAAAAACAAGTGCTGCGTCGGCATTCAGCGATGACTCGGATCCTATCGCACGCTTTGTGCCCGAGAAACGACAACCGCAAAGTTGCTCGATGCAGTCTTGAATGAGGGTCCATTGCTCTCGGCACCCCCAAAGTGCAGAAGCAAAAACAAAGCAAATCGTGGGTCCCAGGTCTGAGTTTGGCCCCGCGTGGCGCATTCCGTCGTCCCGGTCCAGGTGGCGGTCAAGCCGGACTTTGGCCTCTCGGGCAAGCTTGCCGAGGACACCAATGTGTTCAACGGCGTGGTGATCAAGTACAACGAGCCGGTGGAGGCCCGCAAGCCGAAGCGCCGCTGGCGGCTCTACCCGTTCAAGGGCGACACTTCGCTGCCCTTCATCCCCCTGCACCGGCAGAGCGCCTACCTGCTTGGCAGGTGAGGCCCACATTGCCCGACTTCCTTCCACCCTCTTGTGGACATGAAAGGTCCTGTTCCAATGTTCGCAAGAGGGTGGAACCCCTTGTGGACGTTGGTTCTCACCTACAATGTTGGCAGGAAGTTAGTCAGCCCCACCCAGGTGGTGTCTGGTGTCTCCCTTGTAGGTGAGAAATTTAGCCAGAGCAGTAACACCGCTAGCCTGGGGCGGAAAAATGCGGCTTTGAGTTGCCCTTTTTTCTTTTTTCACTATTTTCGTTAAAATAATTAAACTGGTTACTTATAAAGGTTTGTCTTCTCTTTTCAACACAATTGTTAGTTTTAATTTAGCTCCTATAGTTTTGTGTTAAGAGGCAGAAACGACTAGATGAAAAAGGTTCTGCGTGCACAGATTTAGACACGCTAATATTTTTATAAAAAGTAGGGTGCAATAGCTTTATTTGCTTTTTATGAAGTGTAGAGTGCTAGTGACTAGCCAAAAAGCCATGTCAAATCTTATAATTTAGAAGACGAAAATGAAGATGTCATAAAGCCTTCTTTTTAGAAATTTTTTAGGAGTTAGTTAAAATATGCAAAGACATGATTAGGATATTGTGATTCCTAATGGATGCCTGCACTCTACGTATCCTCAAGATTATACACAAAAGAACTTTACTATGAAGGGAAGATTCTGAGTAGCATAAACTGAGTGTACAAACGGAGAAGGCAATTCAAAGTTGCAAAACAAGAAAAATCCATTTGAAAGTTCAAAAGATATATGCTATTCCAAAATTTGTTGGAATTACATGAAATCTGGATGTAACACAGGGAGTGTGTCCAGGAATCATTCAGAGTCACTAAAACAACCCCTGCATATATCTTGTGACTTTTCTGGCCTCTCTTGTGCCATCTGCCATCAAACGCCGTTATATTAGCTGCTGCTCTCATGTCAGTGCGGCAGATCGCATTGCTCAGATGTATCGTCAACGCATTGATGTCGCACATCACTGAACTCCAGAGCCATAGCCACTTGTTCTGTAAATGTTTTCGAAGAACCCAATCTCCTTTTACGAAGGGCTGCCGCATGTGAATAAAGCGCCGATTACGTTGGAATCGTTGCCTTTGTTAGGCTTGGCACGCTGCTGTAAATGTTCCTCAGGTGGCAACTCTCTGCTTGCGTTTGTGCTGCCTTTCATAAAACTTGTTTGCATCGGTAGTTTCAAACGCAAAAATCACGCTTTTTACTGTTGTCTATTGCAAATCAAATCAGAGAAACATAGAAAGCACCGCTGTGTCAAGCGAAAGCCTCTCAAAGGTGGCAGGTATTTCCACAAACTTGTAATATTTTGTGCCACCTATTGTTAGTCACACTTTTTTTCTTTTTTTTTTAATTTCTCAACCAAATCTTGCTTTAGATTTTTTAACTCATGCAAGTAAGATGTCCTAAGATATTCAAACAAACAAAGTAAAAGAAAAAATCGAAAATTTCCAGATATAAACTTAAGATGCACCACACAGTAGTCATACATGACCGCACGCCGGTACAATTCTCATCTAGATGGAAACGGGCAACGGTGGGGATTAAACCAAGGATCTGGCTCCTGCAGTATCGATAGTTGGAAATTGAGCTACTATAAAGAGTGCATTACATGTGCTCTATTATTTCCTTCCCTAAAGGCCAACCTGCCACATTGTTTTCTGGCTGCCAGAAAAGTTTTTCCCAGTGTCTTTCTCTCCCTTCCTTCTCGCAATCTTCGCTCCTTCTTGACCAAAATGAGCAAAATTCAGCAGTCATCTATTTGTATTCTGCCCACCTTTAAAGGGGCCCTGCAAGAACTTTTTTACTGGTTTTTAATTTGCACCGAACCTGAGCGCACTCAACGTAGTAACTTAGTGAAACTTTTCTTTTCTCGAAATTCGCTTTATTTTAAAAGTTATAGGCAAATTAAAATTACAAAAACAAGCAAAAAATAATCTCCATCATGACATTCTTGGTTGCTTGAGTGGCCGCGAACTAGAGGAGGGGTAGCGAGCTCAGCGAACGCTCACGGCTGCCGCACTCCCGTGTCGAAGGCGGGAGAGGGCACCACTAAAGCATGTTCTGGATAGGCTGTATACAGCGGGCAGCCAAGGCGGCTCTTAATGCATTTGCTGCGCGATTTGGCATGGCACTTCATTGGCCACAAACGACAGCAAACTGAGGGTAAAGATCAGTTCAGAATGGGAGCCACTTCGCACTGCCATACCACGAAACGGCCGAACTGCAAGACAAAGCTTCTTGCCAAAGGCCTTCGGAACGCTCGGAGCCTCTTGTCCATACGTCCGCAACGCCGCCGCGTACATCCGGGACCTTTCTGTGTCGGCGCCTGATCCCACTACTCTTTTCTAGTGTGCACCGCCTTTTCCTCCGCTTGGTGGCAAGTATGTCGACGGGTCATTTCTTGTTTCCGTACTTTATAAACTGCATTCATTTCTTTTCTGATCTAAAATACTGAACAAAAACTACTTTTATACATAATTGAAACGGTTCGCGCCACTTATATTTTGTATTTCGACTAAAAAGAAGCTTTTAGTGGCTCTGACTAGTAGTAAGCCCAGGACCAAAGACGTCACATTTTGCGCGCTTCTGGTACCGTGGGTCGCCCTCGTTGGTGAAGGAGGTTTCCGCGTCGTCCGGTTAAAATATGACGCACGATATTTAGTTACTCTCTCCGTGCCCGCTGGCTTGCCCGAACCCCGAGACGTGGAAACTGCAAAAAAGGTAGACGCTTAAATGTGATTGCAGGGCCCCTTTAAGTTAGCATGGCACCAAAGGCAAGACACACAAGCTAGCTCACGCCGTTTGCTGTAAAATGTGCTTTCCAACCCTCGTTCTGCAGTAGCATGTTTCAAGGTCACAATCTCCACCCATAGACGTTGCTGCCCTGTCAGCCTAAAGGTGGATGGTGTAGAAACCCGCAGAACGGAGAAGGGGTTTCTTCATTTCTGGGATAAAAGGGAGGAATCGAAGGAAAGTTTCCTTTTTTTCTGGCTGCTTGTCAGGCTTGCCTTTAATGGTCTTAAGAATCTTTGAATAAGTATAATTGCTCATTAAAACTTTTCACCATTCCTTTATCCTGACTGCGATCAAGGTATAATCACCACGAAGTGGCCCACACCTTTGTGACCCTGATCAAAATATCATTAAGAAAATAGCGACATTTTAAAACTCACCCATCCCCGGGTCTGGGTTGGAGGGTCATATATTATCAATGCGCCTCCTTCCGCCTAACTAAACTCATTTCAAAACAGAACTTTATTTGCTCCAATCTTTTCTGGGGGCTCGTGCAGGTCGCGCATGATAGCGGACATCCCGATTGACCATCCGTCCTGTTCCAAGCAGCACGCTGTGCTCCAGTTCCGTCTTGTGGAGTTCACACGCGACGACGGTACCACGGGGCGACGCATCCGGCCCTACGTCATCGACCTGGAATCAGCCAACGGCACCTTCGTCAACAACAAGCGCATTGACGCGCGCCGCTACGTCGAGCTCCTGGAGCGAGACGTGCTCAAGTTCGGCTTCAGCACCCGTGAATATGTGGTGCTGCACGAGGAGTCGCACGGTGAAGACCAAGACGACGACGTCAACGGGCCAGCCGCAGAGGATGCAGTCGCCGCTGAAGGAACAACGGCAGCGTGATCTGTTTTAGTTGCCGTTTCGTGTGGGTGTGACCGTAGACATCTCAAGGTTTGCTGTCTCTGGCAGCAACTGGACTAGTCCTTGACATCGCAGAAGCCTGATGGAAGTTGCACCATGCTGCCCTTCAGGAAGCTCTTGTCAGGATGTGCTGTCCTGAAGAAGAGCCCTTCATGGAGCTGTCTTCAGCAAGGTCTCTCCCGAGAGAACTCTTTCTTAGGAGTTCTGTTTGGGGTGCCATGCTCCCCCTTAACTTCGTGGCAGGATGTAGTACTCTTCGAGAAGTGCTCTTCATGGAGCTGTCTTCAGCAAGATCTCTCCATACAGCTCTTTCTTGGGAGCTCTGCTCGGTATGCCATGCTGCCCTTCAAGAAGTTCTTGTCAGGACGTACCCTCTTCAAGAAGTGCTCTTTTGGGAGCCGTCTTCAGGGAGATCTCTTAAGATAGCGCTTTCTTAAGAGTTAACTGTTTTGTGGACAGTCACAGGTACATTCTCAGCTGGACACGTATGTGCTGATGTTACCTTGCCAAATATCTGTGGCTCATGACAAAACCTCTAGTATCATCTGAACTGATATGTGGTGCTGCTAGAGGATGCCCAGTCCATGCTTGTTGTCGAGTCTCGGGCTGCAGTGCCAGGGCGACCACATCATCATATTCAAAGTCTGGACAACTGGTTAGTGTTACTCGGTGTGTCAATGATCAGCCTCCTGACAATTATCAGGCCAGTACCTAGGTCTTGCAGATTGCTCTTTGTCGTGTGACACCAGCTCTCCTGTGAACTTAAATGCATCGATGGCTAATTCAACTGGACTCCTCATCAAACTTGTGTTAACTGCACACAGTTATTTTTTTTTATTTTTGTGTGTGTGTATTTTATTACTTTTTTTTATTTGTTTGGTTTAGAAACTTATTCTACACAGGTCTCAGACTTCTGCTTTCTAATAAAGCATGCAGAGAGTCAATTGTTGTGATCTAAGCAGGAATCCAGGAAACAATGAGACAGAAAATGTTCCTTCAAAGATTGATTCCTACTGGACTGCACTTTGATACATGAAACGTCACATCTAATGTTGCAGTACAGATAACACTCTATTCTGGAAACTTTATCTCCACCTCACCATCTCCTACGATCTTGCTGTAGATTGCTACTACTGGCTGTCTGTGTTTTTGTGGGAAAGTAGGCTTGGTGGGGCATGTTCATGAACAATGCACATGTTAATTGAGTAAATACAGACTACTTTGAAGTGCTATCTTTTTTTGTTGTTCTGAAACCATTGAGGCTTAAATATTTGCTGGCTGTGACAATGTAGTGGATATGTCAAAAATGGCGTCACTGTGTTAGGGGTACTGTTAATTAAAGACATGCCAGTTCTGACTCTTTAAAAGTGTAGGTTGTGTACATTTCACGAATAGTAGGCAGCCACTGAGTTTTCACTACATATCTGTATTTAGTACTGACATTATGGTTTTTCTTTCCTTCGCTGAGGTGTCACAAGCGATCTCGCGAATGTGCGATAAAACTGAATTAAGATTGAAGGCCCTGAGGGTGCTGAAGCAAAGGCACTGGACTGAGAAGTGTTGTACAGAGGCTTGCTACTTATAAAAAAAAAAAAAGACATCTGTCTTTATTACTTTCTGTTTTTCAAGTTGTTAGCAGAATATTTCTCCTTATAGCCCCTTCATTGTGAGAGTTCTTTTCATGTCTTGCACATGCAGCAAAACAACTATTGCATTTCAACTGTCTTACAAAAAGCAAAATCATGTTGTGCACATTTTGTGTCCTGGGGGTCGCTTGTTGAAGGTTGCTGTAAGCCGTTGGAGGTTACTAAACATTGTAGCTAATTTTGTTGCAAGCATGTATCAAAGTGGCATCCAAATGAAGTTGGGATGTTGGAATCGATGGCATTACCAGAAAGTCCGATCAGAAGGTTTTCTATTTTGTTGGTTGAGGAGAATGTTGCATGAACATACTATCTTTTTTGTCTTTGTTCTTCTATTTCAACAAAAAATATGCATTTTCTCGTTCCACTTTCCCCATACAAAAAGACAGGTCTACATTCGACTATTATAAAAACATTATACTATGTGGCCGTCACAAAAAGTTACAGGAAATTAGAATATTTTTTTTATATGCAATATGCAGTGATGTTAAATGTGCGAGCAAAGGTACAGTATTGATTTGAGGCGAGCCAGCAATCAACCGAGTGACATTGCTACGCCGCCTCGTTGCGACAGTCTCAATGAATTTGGGGAACATTTTTGTGCCATGCAGGTAACGTCAACAAAAATGTCCGCTGCACGAAAAACAAAATGGCTCGAGGCTCGGAATGATGACCCCAATCGAGCGAGAACAGTTGGCGTTCTCTGAAACAGGATGTGGGGAAAGGAGCGTCTCTGTGAAGCCTATATATCCTGGATTACCCTTGCCCACGTCAATGCGTGGAATATTTGCTTTCATGTCTCGGTGACCTACCAAAACACAAAATAGACATGCATAAAAAAAAAAAGACAAATAGCGGAAAACTTTTTGAGGGAGTGTCTGAACCCTGGCATTCCCACCCCTGTCGATGCCCCTCGTTAGAATGCCAGTAGGGCTTGTAATGCAAATGATGCCTGGCAAAACCCTTCCGAGACAACACAGAACCCATGTGCAAAGATGAAATGAACTAGTAATAAGGCGTGGCACCATCTCTGAGGAAAAATGAAAGGTGAGTTGGCTAAGGTGTATTGGGTGGGATTGCATCAGCTGAGGACTTGCAGATGGCTCTTCAACCAGATATGCCCCTTTGTAGTTACTTTCACTTCCCCTTTGAGCACACCAGGACCCTGCGCTAGAGGTGCCAATGAAGTAGATTTGCAAGTTGGCTCGAAGCACTTTTCCATCAGGACTCTGGGATGCTTTTTTTTTAGGTTCATTTTGAAGAACAGTCTAGTTCCAATATCAGCTTAAATCCGTGTTTGTAAGTTGCAAAAAAAAATTGTATATATATATATCAATGTTTCTTCCAGGAAGTAATTACTTCATTATTACATTAGGCTTTGAAAAGCTTCCAACCTTTGAGTATATAACAACTTTATTTCAAATATATATATATTTTTTTTAAATTCAGGGTTACTTTTGCACCCTTCACCAACAGTATGAAATACCACTAAAAAAATTAATAAAGAAAAATTCCATCATAGTTTTAAAGAAGACACGACTTTTTGGTGCATTTATTTCGTATGAATTGCGGAGTTCAAACGCCGAAAGTTCGTAGCTCGATCGAAATGCTTTGAAACGCACTCGCTGCTCTCTCTGGAAACCGCAGAGGCACCACGCTGGGAGCCCAAAAATAAGTTCACCCTTTCTCGATTCGGCCTTTTAACAACCTCGGAAAACGAACATAAGAATAAAAAAGAACTGCTCTGCGGGCTTTTCACCCACCGTCCCCTCGCAAAGAATTCTCACTACGATCACGAAGGCAACTCCCAGAGTCGAAATCCTTCCTACAACCATTCATTCTTGTTGACATTGAACGCGGTAGTAAAACAAAAAGAAAAGAAAAAGCGTTTAATCTATCGATTTGCACACACTCTTTTTTGTTTAGTTTGGTGTGTGTGAATTTATTATCTATTTTTATTTTTTTTACGAATAGGTGCTCCCGATGTGCAAACCGGTTTCTTGTAGAGAGAGAGCGTACTACCCATGGATGGATGAAGATAACGAAGAGCAATTGGCTATCTCTTGGTCGCGGAGAAGCTGAAAGCGGAAGCGCGGCTCAAGGAGCCAAACCGAAAAGTCAGAGGAGAAGTGGACTTTTACACATGCAACGTACAACCACAGGTACTACGATCAATCGCTGCGTGCGTTCTCACAACGGCCCAGTGGGTAACGCAGGCTGCCGCTAGAAAGCACGCGATCACCTAGCTCCATTACGGGTACTGCCTTACCTCAAGATCGGGCCCAACGCACCGGCTCGTAGTAACTGTAGCCACATTGTCGGTGTTTTGAATTCACTGGCGCTGATGGCCTAACGTTACACCAGCCAAACTGGACGAATAGAGCGGATTTTGCGGGGAGCACACCGGGTGAAGAAAGCGTAAAACACGGAAAAAGGAGCCGGCCTTCAATAAAGACAAAAATGTCGAGGCGTTGTTTCCAAAATTCGCCGTCGGATGGCGACACCTGCCGGAGGCTCTTCGGTACCCCTGGCGAGCAGGGTTTGGGTTCCAACCCTTGTTGCTCGCGCTACGTTAAAACCCGTGGCGCCAATTACGACAGGTTGATGCGTAGGCAGCTCGCGCCTACGCCCTGCGACGTAAGCTAAACGAATTCAACGAACCGGCGGTGCGTATGCAGCGAGGAAGTCGTGATTCAGCCGGGGCGTTTCCCCACAATGCGTCGCGGTCATGGGAGGAAGCGCCCGTTAGAGAGAAGGCGGAAATATCTTCAAGGTTACAGCGGTTGCGCGATATCTATCGCTCCATTACAGACGCGCTGCACATGTTATTCTGCGTCACCCAAGTAACACTATGGCGGGAAATCGGTTGATGAAATGTGTGCTTATCAAACAAACTTAAAAATTACTCATGCACACTCACACACGTAAATGAACACAAAAGGAAAGTTTGTATGCGTGTGTGTTTGGGGGGGGGGGGGGGGGGGGGGGGCAAACAGTATTGCATCCCATAACACAAAGAAAACTGCATATTGCAAATTGCGTGAAGCGCTATCAAAGGTGGAGGTGCATAACATGTGTGAACCTTGTTTGTACGAACACCTGTGACCTAAAGAAGGAAAACGCTCGCTTATAGAGTACGCGCTCGTTCCTTCCGCAGCGCTATTGAAGCGTTTGAACATATTAGCCCACTCGACACGAGACTCAAAACGACTCACGGACGTCTCGCGGCAACAGGTTTAAGAGTTAAAAGAGGGGAAGCTCCTCCCACCTCTTTCCACTTTAGCAAAGCGAACGCCAGAAAGGAGGTCGCTTTTTCTCCCGAGTTCGCTCTGCCAAAGTGGAAAGAGGTGGGTGGAGCTTCCCTTGAATTCTTAGCTTGTCGCCGATTATAGAGTGAGCTACACCATAGCCTAAGACTACACACTTGTTGGTCTCTATGCAAGACATCTACAAGGAAACTGAAAACTGAAGAGTGCATTAAAAAAAAAGTATAAAAATTGTGTGTTCGAAATGTTTTGAAATTTTAAATAACTATGGCTTGGAGGGCAGAAGCGGTCCACAGGGAATATTGTATTCGACGTATTCTTATAAGCGATGTATAACACATCCGCATTAAATCCGCACCAAATATGACCAAGCTTTAATTGCTGATCAACAGCAGCAATGTCGCAGAATTTGTAGCGCGTGTCGTTTAAGGGTTTGTTAAGATATGCACTGTCATGCCCCTTTTTTTTAAATTAAGCTTGTATAAGAGGTAGCAGAACATGTCCATACCACAAAATATACCTTACATTTGAAAAAAAAGAAAAACGTGTTTTTTTGTGAAACAAAATCGCGTGAAAGGAATGTGAAACAGCGATTTTCCCCTTGCGCGTAGGTGCAACATTAAAAAAACAGGAATAAAAAATTCAAAAATACAATGTAATTATTTTTATGTATAAAGCGTGCTAACTGCTCTACTTAAAGCAGTTCTATTTAGTTTTGTTAAATTTATATTTTAAGTCAACTAAAATTACAAATTTGGCTTCCTGCGCAACTCTTCCATATTTAGGCATTTTTCGGTGATTTTTTAAGACATCTTAGAATTAGGTTTTTCGGTTAAAACTTTTTTGTACAGAGTATTTCCTGCTTCGTTCACTTTTAACAAGAAAGTTAGCGTTTAACTATTTTAGGTGTTTTTTTCGAAATATCGAAAAATACCAAATGGTGCAATTTGTGTGCGGTGATTTCTAAAAAATCCCCCCAATTTTTTCTTATGCGTGCTTTAAGACGAATAATGCAGAATCCGCAAAACATATGTTGCCTTATATTGTTTTAAGAAAAAGAAATCAGCATTTTGCCAGGTCTGCATTGCTGTCAATTACCGTTGGAGCCTTTCTGTCTCAAGGACTATAGCGGTACTGGAACACCGCATCCACAGTGGCCATAGTTGGTTGCATTATGTGCAAACACCATTATACGGTATATAAAATATATATATATATATTAAAGGGCGACTCCGCTCAATTCCGAAGATTTCGGGATAATGAGTGATTTCGAATTAAAAAGCCCTAGTAAAAGACAATACGTCTTTTGCTTCGCGAAAAATGGGATATATATTTTTAAATCTAATTTTAAACACGAGCGGAAATCAAAACCGAAACTTCGGCTCCGTCCGGCAACATTGGCCTCGGGCCGCCAAGTACATGGCCATCACGTGGTACGAGAGGTCACGTGATCCTCGGCCCAACGACGGGCGGGATGGGGGCGGGCGGGCGGGCGTGCGGCAGGCACGAGTGTCGTCTGCACCGCACTCTTCGCCACGTTTTGGTGTCTACGGCATTCGACGACGTCTGCACAACTGCGGCATAAGTCTGGGACTCTGCGCACGTGGTGTCCATAGTGTGGACGAAACTCCGAGAGGCAATAATCACAAACGGTGAGACGACGACGGTGGTTGTGACGCGGAAGACTGCGGTAACGGCGGGACCACGGCGGGCGGTTGGTCTGCTCCCAAGAAGCGCGCTGCGCAGGCGCGTACGTCAATCACGTGGACACCGCTGAGCGCCGAGAGGCAACGAAAACGTTGCTGACGTCACGCGCTACGCTCGATCGGAGAAGTAAAAACAAGCAAAAGGGGGCCATGTAGATGGCGTTTAGCTGAATGTTGGCTCCGCCCATGCCATAGCCTTGACTGCGCTGTTGGTTGCGCCTGAATTCGCCCGCTCGAGTCAGCCGATTTCGGCAACTTGGTGAGTGGCAAAGTTTGCCGGGCCGTTTAAGAAACATTTAGACAGAACTGCGTCGTAATATTTGATGTGTGGTCTTCCTAGGCGATACTGAAGAGGAGTGCATTGTTTTTTCAAAACCAAAAATGAAGCGGAGTTGCCCTTTAAGCTTTTTTTTTTTTTAAGGTAGTGATGCGGTTGATATTGCTTATCAAAACTGAACTTTGCGGTGCATTCGGTCCTTGGGGTGTTGTGCTCGAATGATTGCGCTGCACTGCGCACCTTTCCCAGTGCAGTATTTTAATATGGATACATCTTGTTGAGAAAATGATTCGATTCATTTCTTTAGACATAACCACAATAATCCGTTTGTAATTATGATAAGTTGTGGCGGACGTTACGAGCTATCTCAGCCGATGTAGCGTATCATGCGACAACGCGTCACTGCGCCCCTCTCAAAGGTCACGTGCCACTTACACGACATTGGATTGACTTGTATGACTCGTACCGTTGTCCGTGGTCCATCGTGAGGTAAAACGAAGCACATGAACGTGAGACGTTAGGAATCGTATGCCTCAACCGATGGCCGGCGTGGCGAGGCCGAAATAATAGCAGGTTCCGTCTAAAAAAAAAGAAAACGGGACAAGGTGGAAAGCTATGTGGAGCGCAAGTTCGTCTGATTCTTGCGCAGGGGTTGCGGTGATGTGAAAACTCCGAGCTCTGATTGGTTCGATTGGAAGAATAGTGGGTAGACCTGAAGGCAGTTAACATTGAGGTCTACCCTCTAGCCTTCCAATCAGAGCCAATCAGAGCTCGGCGTTCTGGCGTGCAGTGCAACTTACACGAAGCGCCAGAAGCAGACGAACTTGCGTCCCGCATAGTCGGTGAACGGTTAAGAATTCAGGGTAAGCTCCTCCCACCTCTTCCCAGTTTAGCTCCTCGAGAGAACGCTGGAAAAGATGTCGCCTCCTCTCCGGCGTTCGCTCTGCTAAAGTGGGAAGGGGTGGGAGGTGCTTCCCCTGAACTCTAAGCCAAGTGATGCCTTAGGTGTTTGTATATACGCCACTGCACACCGGGTGATGTTCGCATTACACAGCGGAAGGCTCTGGTGCAGGCTCAAAGAGGCTGCTCACCGGAGGAGCTGCATCTCCTTCCTCGATTACATATGCCGCATGGTTTTAAAGGATCGTATAAAGTAACATTGGTGATGGAAATTAAAAAAAAAAAAGTGTGTTTTAATGATTGTCAGAAAAAAAAAATGCATTAATCGCATGTTTGCGCGCTAATATTTGAAATTTCGCAGGCCATCGCTCAAAGTGCCATGTTTGAGAGTTCTTATAAAATGGAAGTAGGGTTCCGTGTTTTCGGATAAATCAGAAAAAATCTGAAAAACACGCGCGGGTAAATTTTTTGTCAATTAAGATTAGTCCGAAAACTCTGAATTTCGAGGTCACAATGACAAACAAAAACAAAAATACGGTGTTTTACAAATAAACGTGATAAGAAGCTGCAGGGTCAGTGGTCCTGACAACATACCACTTCAGTTCCCTTTGAAATCCCGAACTATTGACAAAACGGCTCATAAAAAATTAAAATTGAAAACGCACATGAACTCCCATAAATCCCGAATTTTAACCGAAAATTAAACTCTGAAAACACAAAATCCTAAATGTAAGTAATTTAATGAGCAATATTATTTAGGATGACTGACCTGTACCAAGACATTGTTTGTCAAAATGAATGAACTTCTAATTGCAAGTTTTAGAATAACCTGCCCGAATTTGCAAAGAAATGGAGTCGTCGGCATGCGCTAATGCAAAACGCGGTTTGGGCTTGGTGCATGGCCACTGGTGACGACGCCATATTTTTAGTTTTCTTTTTTTTTATTTACGCAAAGGTTTTTTGGTATTGTTGCAGCGTCATCATTCCGGTGGAAACCGTCAATGTTACTTGTTGATTCTAATCTAAGCAGTGTGTCGAACCGAAAAAAAAATACGAGTTCGGTTACGGTTCAGGTTCAGGTAAATTTATTTTGTTCCGGTTCAGTTCCGGTTCTATTAATTCGATCCGCGAACCGGTTCGCGAACCGGTTCGGGGCGCTGAACCGGTTCGCGAACCGGTTCGGAAATTATAAATGACAAATTGCAACATCAAAATAAATTACAAATAAAACATCTGAAATCAGCACATACGTAACGGGATACATCGTAGTGTAAGGCTCAGGGATTTCTACCAGGAATGGTTTCTTTATGTGCACTCAAAGGTTACCTCACCGACGTTTACGCATTCGGACTTCATCTAATTGGGTCCGACGCAGTAGCTGTAAAATCCGCGACCTCCTTACAAACCCACTTACAAGTGGAACTCGCTAACTATCCCGCCACCTCGGCGTGTAAGCAATTGAAGGAACAGTGGGGAGAAAATACAGCTTTCTTTATTTGAACTAGCCTTCGGTAACTCAAATTAGACCCTTAAAGAAGTTTTCATT